AAAATACTTTTTTCGCAAAATCTATAAAGGACCCTTTTATTTCTCAAAAAACCCTGGGTAACGGTTATTCGTCGCAACGCTGTGAATAAGGATTAAAATTTAAAAACTAATTAATGCAACTAAATTAAAATCTGTGGATAATTAACAATAAAATACTTTTTTCGCAAAATCTGTAAAGCACTCTATTATTTCTCAAAAAAACCTGGGTAACAGTTATTCGTCGCCACGCTGTATGTGTATTATACATACAGTAATTTGAAATATTAGAAACGCGACGTTTTGAAACTATTTAAATTTTATCTGCAAGTTTAATATAATTAATATACCTGCAAGTCATTATTTTAAACCTTTACATATACATACATATGTATATGGGGCATTCCACTCCAAAATGGACGAGGTTCACACTTCATGTGTTTGATTTGTTTAAAATTTTTAGGGTAGATGGACAAGCATAAGTAATAAATAAATACGAAATTTGCGCTTGATTAATACATTTTTAAGAACTTTACAGCACAAAAACAAAAACAAATCGATTTAATAGTTTTCTAAATATCTCGAGAACGGGGCGAGGAAAAAATTAAAAAAAAAATCACACATCAAATTCACTATTAAAAGAAATATTTTTAATAATTTTTTCTTGAAAAATTTTTCACAAACAAATTTAAAAAAAATGTTTTTGAAAATATGCCATCTCAAAAAAAAATTAAAATAATGGCAATGGTAGCTCTGAGTATTGCGCAATATTTAAGTATAGTATTACGGAGTAACTTTACAATAACACTGTGGAACAAATTCAGGTTAGCAAAAGTAAGGTCGATTCTGAGAGTGGGGGGTGAAAATGGAGGCTAAATTAGAAGACCCGTATCGCGGCGTTTGTTTATGTTAGTTCGAATTTTTTTTTAATCGACCTTCGAACTTTGCAGTCAAATGGAGATTTTCAGCATATTGTTTAAATGGTTTTTTGGCTATAACTCGTCGACTAATTGATATTTTTTCAATCTGTTAAAGCCAAATTATTGCTAGAGACCTGTGCAACAATTAAAATTTAAGAAAAAATTGATTTAGAAAATTTTTGTAGTGCTTATAAAGCAAAATGTTGGAAATTTTTTTTCATGCTTTTTGAACATAGTTTCCACAAAACTAAGTCTTTTTTGCTTTCTGTTTGATCTATAATATGCTTCTCAGTTTCTTCAATACATTTCATTTGAAAAGGGAACAGTCATAATACAAAACTTGCGTTTTCCAGCTTAATATTAATTTACTTCTTATTTCTTATGTACCATTTTTTTCAGTGTTGGTTTGGAGAAACATTGGAAAAGAAATTATAAAAATATGGAAAAATATATAATTTTGAAATGTTAGTTATGAAAAGATTTAAGTAAAAAATTAAATAAATTAAATTAATGATTTGGCCAGTTGCCGTTTAGCAGGCGGCTGTGGATCAACATCACTGCTCTCTCTAATATCTTTGTCAGAGTGCACAATTTAAACATGTCAACGATTGTAAACTATTTTCGTTTCAGGTACAGAGGAAAGAAATCTCCAGATGCAATACTC